CCTTTCATTACTCAAAAGTTGATACTTTATGAAGTCAGTTACATCCACTATTTTTGTAAGAGTAAATCTTATATACACTGACAATGTATATACTATCATGGTTGGATATACGATACATATGCAAAATTTGGATTTCAAATTCAAATTCGGATTATGCGTCATATATTCAATGGTGAAAGTATACAGACTATCAGTGTATAGAAGATTAATTCTTTTTGTAACGTAAGTAGTTTATATTAAGGAACGAATTTTCGGTAGTGTCACACTTATTCCCCGTTCATTCCCAGTTTTAACTCAGGCAAAGAAGCCAACCGGCTGGTAGACCAAAGCAAAGGTTGGGTTCGTCCTTGCGAAAAGCAAACGAGTCAGTCAAGTCGCAGGAATTATAAGGCAACATCAGCCCTCCGTCCTGCACTTGAAATAAACAACCTAGTCGGCCAGTCCAAACATTTTCTTTGGCAATGGCACCTATCATCTTCCACTAATATACTAAGGTAACAACTAAGAAAAATTTTGACGTATAATAGTCTTGAGACAAGATCCACCAACTTAAATCCAAGTTAATCCAATTTGAGCTTAGATGTGTATGATGGTGTTAAGACAATTTTGAGAACTGAAACTAAAAATGCTTGCTCAAATTTGTCCAGTGAAATTGCATGAGCAAAATGAGTTAATACAATTTCTTGGCTAAATCAACAAGGATAAGTTTCGCCATTTCCCCCAAGAAATAAGGGTGCTCGGGCTGGTAGAATTAAGGCAAGGTATATGAAGAGATAGCTTATTGAAAAGGGAAAAAAGTGGAAATCAAATTCGTTAATATACTTTTTTAAAAAAAAATTAACTAGCTTGATGGTTGCTAGCCATTTAATCGATGACACCCCTAATTGAAAAAGGTTAAAAGCACCACATATTGATGATTAAATTTAGTGTACCATGTCCAATCGTGCAATCCTTTGGCCTAAACAAAGTTTGCACGAGGTATGTATACCTAAACAAGACTCATACCTCCCATTAATATTTTTTTCCCGAGAAAATGTGAGATTTAAGAAATAGAGACGAGACAAGGAAATTTGAATCTAAAATCTCAAATTCTTGGGATTTCTGCCACTAAACCAAGGCCTCATCAACTCAAACAAAATTATTAGGTCACTTTGGTAATTCTATCAGGGTCAAAATATATGTCGGCCTACTTCATCTTCATGTGGTTCAAGAATTTAAATACGCAGCAGTTGCCATGTGGCTGCACATAATCCATCAAGGTGGTCTATCAATAAATAAATTTTCAAGTACTAATGAGCAAAAAGCAGTTAAACGAATTGACAAGGGAAGGTGATTATGATTTGAAAAAGAACTTGCAAAAAAAAAAAAAAAACAGTTAGCCAATTTGACAAGGGAAGGAGGGGGGGGGGGGTGGGGTTGGCAAAATGGGCACCACTAGTTCTGACCGCTTGTTTGTCTAGTATCTTCATGAAAATGTCATTAGCATTTATTTCATATTTCATTGATCCTTGAAAGTGTTAGATGCTTCCGTGTTTGCGCATCTCATTCCTTCTCTATTCAAACACCTTATCCAAAAGTCGCTTTCTCCTGTCATTTCTGGTTGAGTTAGTTTGATCTTGGAGGTAACATTGAATTAATTTATGTGCTTAGAAGAACAATTAGCTTGGTGCCAAGTGTAAAGTGCATTAGCCATCATGTTGGCTTTCCGTTAAAGAATAATAAAGAGTTTAAAGACAATTCTTAAAAGGCAATTGTCAGTTTCCACCACAATTCTTAAAAGACAATTCCTATTTATGAGTATAGGAATTGAAATATTATTTGTCTTATACAGGTTTGTTTTTCTTCCTTTCTGGTAGAAACCCACACACACACACTTACACTCAACGACGCAGGAAGCATGAGAAATCGGCGCAATCTAAGGGAGACCCACAGAGAAATCCTATCCATCCAATTGATGACAGGAAGGGCTCTTCATGGACCTTAAACCCAAAGTAAAGACTCCACGATCTTTCGATGTGGGATGGTGCAAACCCAGCCCACTCCCACGCACACCCTCGCAGATATATCTGGTGTTTTTCTTCCCCATGGTCTTATACAGGTTTGTTTGAACAGGGTATTATTTGGAATAATTACTGTAATACATTTTATGATGTGATGTATGTGAGATAAAAAGATAATTAGAAATATAAGAAAGTGAATTAAAAAATATATTTATCATCTAAGTAAAATATTATTTGAGATAATTTTACTCTCCAAACACTCCTGACACGTAATTTCAAACTTGTCCGTTAAACAGTTCACCCATGGGTCGATTTGGACAAAAAGCTATAATGTGCACCTGTGCAGATGGAGGGCTAACGAAAGAACATAATTATGAACTTTTTGACTAGCTTCGTGAATAAAGTAGATGAGACTAATTAGACTGTGACTTCAAATTTGTGAAAGTCGGCAGAACTTGAATACACGCGTACACACACGCACATATATTCATATGCCAAGTCACCGTAGAAACGGTGGAATCCACCATTTCTTTATCTGTCTATTTACTTTGATTTTTTACACTTATAGCAGATAATACGTACAATTTCTTAACTTTTTTTTTCCCTTAATTTCACCTAAACAAAAATGTTGTATTTTCTGATACATCATTATGGATTTGCTTAGTCTTGCGTACTTCTCAACGATGAAAAAGTAGTTAATAATTAATGAAATAATTTTAAATAATTGGAAAACATTTTTTATTCGACACTATATAAAAATGAGATGGGTGTATGTTAGTTTTATTAATTTAATATTGGGTGGACATATTATATATCAAGATTGGAAAGTGTGGATATGGTTGGATGGTAAAATTTCTCTTTGGCAAGAGCTTATGATTACTTAATTTAAAAACAATAACAATTAAACAAAACAAGTATTCTTGTTCATTTTTACTGTTTACTAATCGTAGTTGATAAACATTATTTTTATTATGATTTAATTAACTATTACTTTTACTATTAATAAATGATAAATTCTAAGCTTTAATTTATTTGTATGTATTTGGATAATAAAATACTATGTCAAATGTGCTTTGCATATATCTAATATATATATATATATATATATTCTTATAACATAGGGTTTGTGATTATTATTATTAATGGAAATAAATAAATGAAAAAGATAAAATATAAAAGAATAAGTTTGAGTAGATTAAACTTTTTAATCTAAATGTCCAAATAATAATACCAAAGGAAAGGAAGTAGGTAATCATGTGAGAGAGGATGAAAAGGAATGATTAGAAAATGAATGGGAAAAGAAAAAACAAAGAAAGAACATAGAATAAATTATAGATCGAGAAATAATTAATAGAGAAAAGGCACTTTTATCCTAAAATCAAGAAAGGGAAAAGTGCTTTAAGAAAAAGTTGAAGAGGATAAATGCAATTAGAGATAAAATTAGGAAAATGTTATTTGCACTTCAATTTTTATTGTTAACACTCCCACCATCATTTTAACCATATAATTTTCATTTATTAGACTATATGATAAAACAAATGATAGAAGTGTAAATAACAAAAAAATGGAGTGCAAATAATATTTCTCTTAAAATTAAGAGGATCTAGTGATACAACAACAATAATAATAATAATGATAATAATAAAATTGCGAGATCCTTCATTGATTTCCACGCTCATCTCTAGTTCTTGCATTTTGTACTTTGCCTGTAAGAGGGTTTAGAAACACTAGACAAACTCTTTTGAATTACGAAGATATATTATTTTTTACTAAACTAAATAATTTAACTACTTTGAAAAGTTCTCATGCATAGAGTTTTATTTATGGATTAATCATCTATACACTGACAGTATATATACTTTCATTATTTGATGCATGACATATAACGCGAATTTGAATTTAAAATCTAAATTTTACATATGTGTCATGTATCCAACTGTGATAGTGTATATAAAATTTACTCTTAATTTATTGCCTATAAATGAAGGAGAAAAGTTAAAGTTGGCGGGGAAGAAGATTTTAAACGATTATCTAAATGAATGATGACCTCGATAAATGTAAAATAAGCTCGATAAAGGCATAAGGGCTAACTATTGTGTTATTCTTGAATTATGTGCCAAAATAAAGTGACTTATGACATATTTATGAGTTTATAGGTTATGTCATTGTATTTAATTGCAACAATAAAACTAAGATTTTTCGACTGTATAAAAAAAAGTAAAATTTTTCCACAATTGCAAAAATTAAAGAAGGTCAATATAATCAATATTTTATTTTATATTTCTTATTCATTTTTATTGACTTAGTCACAAAAAAAAAAACCTTAAAAGTAAAAGATGCACCGACCTTTCTAACCTTCCTTTGAATTACTTGCGCATACAAAAATGCAAATCTTACCATACACCAAAATTTTGCTTCATAAATATCTTGGAATTAGAACTCTTAACTTGAACATACATAGAAAAAGGTATTTTACAAAAATTTGATGAGTAAAAACTTTCCACTTGTCAAAAAAAGTTAGCTTTGTTAGAAAATTTGATAAAAGATATGCAGTCTATAAAAACAGAAACTACTTTAAATAAACACACAAAAAAAATAAAAGATTTGTTTGAATATGTTATTATTTGTTAAAAAATTATTTGATTGAATCACAAACACATTTCTAAATTACATTTTTTTATCTTTTATTTATCTTCTATCTCACATATATCGTATTATAAAAAAATAATATTATAATATTCTTTTCAAAAAAATATTTTAAATAATCTCCTAAACGAACACACTAAAGAGTTCTTTAAAGCAGCAAAATCTGCCAACAACCCGGTTCAAAATCCACACCATCATTGCCAAGAGTATTAAATAAATATATACAATAAAATAATTAGAAAAAGGCCCAAAAAAAAAAAAGAAAAACACTATTGAGATAGAGATACTCCTAGAATCCAACAATGCCACAAAAAGCCTGAGACCTCTTTTTAGATTCCTGAAATCTTCAATAGCCGACCCCATCTGGCATATGGCCATATCTTTCCCACATTACGTTCTGCCAAAATACGACCTTTCCCTTGCATTTACCACCTCTTTTCTTCGAATTTTCAAATCCACAGAACAGTACAGGTTACAGACAAATTAATCCTACTAACTATTCACCTCCACTCCAAAACAAGAAGAAAACGAGCAGTATCCCGGAGACTGGGGAAGGAGAGAGAGCCACAAAGAATCACACACACAACACACACTGAGAAAGAAGGGGGGAAAAAAGGTACTCCCTAGAGAGTTTTAGAGACAGCCCACAATTCATTTGCTCAAAAAATAATCAATCAGTCATCATGCCAAAAGGTTCCAAGAAGAGAAAGGCTGAAAAGAAAAAGAAGGAGCAAGAGGCATTGTCCCATAATCAGAGTCACAACCATCAGACACAGCCACAATCTGCTGTTTCTCATACTCATGGTAAACTCGCACACACTCCTTTTCTTGTGGGGTATTTTGGTTTTTAAAGCCTTTTCAATCTTTCTAGGTAGAACCCATCTGGCCCTTTTGATTATTATCTTTTTCTGTTTGACCCTTACAGTTTGTGTGTCTCCCAATTTGGCCTTGTGGGTATGGCTTAATTCTCTTGTTTGTTCTGATTATAGCAACTTTTGTTTTCAAGATTTTGCGGGTTTGGCTCAATTATTGTGTTTTTGTTGGAAAGTTCTTGACTTCTTCACTTGTTTATATGTTTTTGATGGCGATGTAGTTCAATCAATGCAGGGTGGTTTGTTACTGTGATGGTCAGGCTTCTTGTACATGTTACTTCATGATTAAGATTTGTGGCTTCTTGAATGTTGGTTGCTGTTTTCTGTTCTGTACTGGATATTTGTTGATTTCTTGTTGAATGAATCAATCTATGGCAGAAAATGATGATAAAGAAAGTGAGGGTGAGGAGGTTAGTTCTCCAGCCTCACAAGACCATTCCAGTCATCAGCATCAGTTCATTGATGGCGAGAAGGAAGATGTGAAGAAGGTAGAAGATAGTTCACATGTTCAATTATCTGGTGAGAAGAGCAAATCCATTGAAGAACACAAAGATAATGGTGTAGCAGTGGAAGAGGCAAAAGCTGAAGAAAGTGTTGTTCAGATTGAGAAGGAACCGAAGCCTGCAGGTGAATTGAATGGCAATAGCATAAGTGAGGAGCGCGTTAAGATTCAGAAGGAATCAGGTAATGGAGTTGCATCTGAGAGTCTGGATGGGGAGAGTACTTTAGAGGTTGAAAAGGAATTGAAACTTTTTGAAAAAGTAAATGCATCGGTTGAGCATGTTGAACCGCAGAAGGAACACAATGATGGAGTGTTGACTGAGCATCGTAATGATGAATGTCGCTTCATTGACAAGACAAATGTTGTGGTGGATAGTTCTCCATTTGGTAGTTCAGCAGAAGCAGTTAATTCCTTCTGTGAAGGTCTGGCTGAAGTACCTAATCCCATTCCAGTTGGGGAAGTTTATGGTTCAGTAGCAGAACCTGACTCTGATACTGTTCCAGAGGAGAAGATTAGCAGAGATAGTAGTAGTCCAGGTCATAGTTTGTTGACTTCTAATGTAGTCACAGAAATGCATGAAAATGGGAAGAAAGATGTGGCTGTGATGGATCAGAATGATAGGAGTTTGCCAGTCCTTGTGGACTTGGGATTAGAGAATAAGAGGGATCAAGCAATTATTCTAGCAGGTAATGCTTTGAGAGCTTTAGAGGCAAGGGGCACAGTTACTCAAGAAACTGAAGAAAAGCAGATGCATTTGTACACTGCTCCTGAAGATGAAGCTGCAAATTATGGTCATGCTAGTAATGGTGAACACCATATTAAGGATTCAGAAGTTCATGGGCACTCTGATACACAGGTTTGAGTTTTCTTATTTTCCTGCTCGGCATATATTGAATATGTCATGCTTTTAACTGATACATAACAACTTTTGTATTTGCTTTTTGTGTTGATGAAATATGTAGCCGCTGGTTGCTTCTGCTATACGACCTGTGCAAAGAACTTCATGGATGAGTTGCTGTGGTCTGTTTGAGGCATTCGCTGGATCAAGTAGATAATGCCCGTAAGATTAAGTCTTGAACTCTAGATATTATTTTTCTTTTCTTGAATGCTTTAGGGTATACCCTTACTGTTAATAGATCTTCTTTCCATTTTGACTGTACATAAAACTGACAGTATTCTTTGCTTAAAATCAACTTGCTTGTAGATTCAAATGATTGCTCTGTTCTGGATATAATGCAGAAGGTTGCTTTATGACCTTGTGGATGGCTTTAGAAGTTGATATGTGTTGCTTTTATTCGCAAAGTGTAATTCAAGATTTACTATTAAGACAGTTTTTGTTCATCTAAACCATTTGTTGGTTGAAGAATAGAGCAATGATAGATTGATGAGGACAAAGTTAAACATAAAAATTAGGGTCATGGATGCTTAATTTTACTCGAAAAATTCAACTTCCCCTTCTTAAAAGAAAAAAATCTTTTAGAGGTGCTAATGGAATAACATTAAAGGACCAGGAAGTGCTTTTGATTGTGATGTGCAAGAAAGTAATCATCAAAACAACTACGTGTTCTCAAATTAAAAAAAAAAAAAAAGAGGGGGGGCAAATTGAATGTATTTCTCCATTGCATTTTCTCTGTCATCTGATTTTCTCAATTACTTTGATGAACCTTTACCTTTTAACTTACCTTCCTAGGTTTTGGTTGGGATGTCAGAATTTGAAGCATACATTCCATTTTAAGTAATTGTGCCCATGAAGCTCTACATTCTTACAACTAGAACAACTTTTGTAGTTTTTTGCGCATTAGATGATTCGTCTTTTAACTTCTGGCAAAATTTTTCTGGTTTTGTTTCGCGAAGTCATTAAGGTTTCTTCAAAAGTAGACCAAAGTTAATGCAAACTGAAAAGTAATGGAACAGTAATGGAACGATAACGCATTTCAGAAAGAATTTTGAACATTTAACTATCACACTATATCCCAGTTTTTAGTTTTTAGGTGTTCAGAAATTTAAAAATTGTAGCCAACTCCTCAACTACGTGGTCTTTAAATAAGTTATATATTTTATGCGTTATCATAAAAGTTCAGGATTTCCTAGATAACTACAGTGACTGTGAGTTAGTTATGAGTTTAATGAGGTTGATTAGATTATGGATTAACTGCAGGAAAATAAAATGGAAGTTAACCTTACCTAGAATAGATAAAAGAAAAACAAAAATCTAGGTATACAAACTATATCAATTGCTTCTTTGTCATATCCTTTTTTTTCAAGCATAGAGAAACCTCATAACTTAGAGAAGGTGGGATCCCTTGAAGTTGAATTTGTACCCAACCGCAGGTGTACTGTAGGATGTACAATTTTAAAACAGAAATAAATATTCTTTTCTACTGCAAGTGAAAACGTGGAAAGAAAATCATTACACATTCCTAGCACTTTGGAATTTTGAAGCTGAAAATGTAATTTCTACAAGATAGAAGACATATAATGGGTTTTAGTGTTAAGTTTCTGAAGTAAATAGGACATCCATTTTACGGCATATGAAAATTTGGTTCATTTTTTATATTCTTTCATATTGCCTTATCTTAGCGAGCAAAATTCACTTCTTAAATATGCAAAAAATGAGTCTTGAGGTGAAAATCATCTTTAAGACTGGGGATGGGAATAAGGCAGGTATTGGTGCAACTTTGGGAGGATTATGGTCCCGGTAGATCCCACTAGCATTAAGCTGTTTAATTTGTCATAATTTCTGGTTCTATCGTGGGGCAAAAGTATATAGAACCAATTTTCATTTTCAAATTTCTCTAAGTTGTTTGTATTGAAGAGAACTGCAAAGAAAATTTCGATTGGTATACTGAAGCTCCTGAATTCATATCTTATAAATCAAAATGCTAATCTGAGATTTCAGATGTGGTCTGGGTAAGGGATAATGCCTATACTTTTGATTACTTTTGGCTATCTATTATTGTGCCATAAAGCCATTCAAGAAGAGGAACTAATTAAATACCAAAGGAATCAATGGTAGGACTAACTGAGGTTTCTAGACTGGCACAGGCCAACTAATGAGCAGTTTGAAGTATGACTTTCAGCGGATGTGGAGTAGTATCGGATTGCTGGCTGATAATTTTACCTTTTTATTGAGTGTAACCGCTTATCCTGATATGTGCTTAGATGGGGCCATGCCTGCGAGAATTAGCACATCGTTACTTATGATAAGAAACATATTCTTTCCAGAGTTGGTTTCGTAGAAATTGGCTTCCGAACATTCCCAAAGGCCATTCATGTGCAAACTGATCAGCAGGCAATAAGTCCTAGATTTATTCCTCCCTTGTCAGTTATCTCTATTTTGCTTTCAAGAGCTTTGTTCCATTTTGTTGTCACTGTTTGGTGAAATCAAATCTTATGGAGCTTGACTTTTATGTTGCTGTTGTGATGCCTGTATTAGGTGTCCATAGACATTAGACAACAGTTATATGCATTTATGCTCTTAACCTGCCATGCAGGTTCATCATGCTGTGTCTTAGGCACTGAACACTTCTATCTTAGTGGTAAGTTTGGGGTTAAAGGTTGTTGCATGGTGCCTTAGATGTGCTTTTACGTATTTTCTTAGCCTAGGAGCTGAAATAGGTCATTACTCTGTACTTGGGAAATTTATGTGCTGGACCTTAATCTACTGGTTAGTCATTCAACCATAAGCAATTTGCTGAGATCTTTTACCAAGTATAGGTTGCTAGTTTTCGTTATCCTCGGTAACAAATTTATTCCAACAGCAAAATCTGATTGTCCATGTGAAATATGTTTATACAGTAGTTGAAATAATTTGGTTTGCTAATTCCCACATTCGATGGAACTATGGCGACGCCAAGTTAATATTCTGTCGATTATTCTCTGTCTATTATGAATACTTTACTGCATTTCCCTCGTACTCCTACATGTCTTGCTCTAGTGATTAAATGTAATTGCTTCCTTAAATACCTGCTGCAGTTACTTGCATAAATATTTTTTATTCTAACTGGACTAGTACCTCGTGGTTTTTATATTCAGTCAATTCTGAAGGTTTGGTAATACCTTCTTTTTTGAATGTAGTGGAAACTTGTTGCTGAATGCAAAAAATAATGGATCATTTCAACTTTTTGTAACATGCATGTGCATTGGTAGTTTAATGTGTTTAAGATATTTGTGATGGTCGTGGTAGTTATCAGGCAGCTCGCTCAATGCGCAACCTGCATCAGTAATAAAAAATCATTGTATGACATTCTACCCCTTTAACTGGTGTTTTCAGTTTGCAGTCTTTTGAAATTTTTTTTTTCTAGAGATGGATACTGTTTTTCTTGGACTCAGTTATCTTCCTTGTATCATGTTTATGCTCAACACACATCAATAGTAACTTTTCTTGCTGACATTTATGTCTGTGGAAGGATATTAATGTGTTTAGCCTTCTGTTTGTGTAAAGGATGAACAGGATATGTATTTGATCTTTTGTGTTTATCCTTGATGGGATTAAGTTATCAAGTAAACACTCTACTCTACAACTAAGCGTGAGGATGCTTGCACTATAATGAGTCACTTGCTGATCTTGTAAAGGAACTCGGTTTATTTTTTGTGTGCAAAGATGAAGCAAATACTTCGGTGGGAAGTATTAATTCACCATATTTACCATCCACCCTCCTGTTTTGTTTTTCTCTTTTAATGGATTGCACATCAGTAGAACTTTTGTACAGAGCAAGTTGATATGGTTTTGGTTTTTATATGCTCATCTATTGTTGAGAATAGTCACTTTAATACCATATCATGGAAAAGAAAACTGAGAAATCTATTCAACTTTATTGCATTTGTAGCATGTGCCCAAATAACTACTTTGGAGGTAGATGAGGTTTAGTGGTGCGTGAAGACAGTTAAAAGTTATTGCTAAAATATGGGATAAAATCATGTTGTGATCTATAGCTTTGGGTCAACAGTCAATAGGAGTTAGATGCTTTGAGTGCATATAGGGATTTGTAAGAGAAAAATTTCACCCGTCAAATGAACTTTTTCCCCCAATTCTTTGTAGGTTTAAGTAGATAGCATTTGACTTGATTATATGCATATAAAGTGGGGGATGTGAACTGCTCTTGAAGAAAAACTTCTTCCTTAGCCTAGCAAGTCTCAGCCTTTCTATTTCATGAAATGCCATTTCAGTATCTTCAGTTAAAGAATTATTCTTTTCAAATTTTGCACCTCAAAGCCTAACAAATCCTTTTCACTTGTAAGCATGTCTTGGATGTTCTTGAAAACCAGTTGCTTCCTAGATCTGTCTGCTCATAATCTGGTTTCAAGCTGGATAAGCAAGCTAGTTTTTTCCATCTGAGCATGTATTCTTCCAATCCATTACTCTTTTTTTCTTTTTTTTTTTGGGGGGGGGGGGTGTCCTGGGTATCTGACACTTGAAGTTAATTTGCTTTCCAAGATTGGGAAGAAAACTCTCTGTCTGTAGGGACTCAAATTTCAAAACCAGGTTGTGCGGTATATTGCAATCAGTTATCTTATTTCATGTGGGCCTTACTGGATTGAATTGCAAGAAGCAAGTTTTACTGCATGAATGTCATCTTTAATAATAAATCACATCTATTCTCCTGGGAGTCTGAGAGAGGTTTTAGACATCATCTTCCATTGGATTGTCATAGGATTTAATACACCAGAGAGTGGTCGGCTGCATGAAATCTTCACATCCCTGCCAAGGAACACCCTACACACATAAAAGGAAACAAAATACGAAGAGTAAGAAAGACAATGGCACAATTTTCCTAAAGCTTACCTTCGAAATAATTAAAGATAAAGGCATGTATGTTGGTGAGACTTGGCTCACCATAGCCGGTGTAGATTTTGTGAGTTCGTGATTGGCTGTATTTGCAATGAGTGCCAGACTTCAGTTTTGCATGCAAAACTGTCAAACTTGTTTCCTTTTCATATCTGGAGAAAAAGATTTAGAATCGTATAATTCTAATCCTATTTTCTTTGATTCAGGGAGCCAAGAATGGAGTAAAGCTGAAATGTGTGACAGAGCTTACCAAAATAAGCGAAAATCTCTCTGCAGAACTAACCTCAGGTTATGTTATATATATATGTTAAGTATCACTTGGGAACCCCTGAGACTTTCTTGGTTTAGTTTATGCTTGTAATTTTTTTTTTGGGTCCAAAAGATGCTTGTGCTAGTCTTCTATAGTGTCTCCTTCCATGTTTAGTGTGATTTTGTTTTACCTGTCGAGGAAGATAATGAGAGCTTTTTAGATGTACTAAAGGGAGATTTTTGCATTGCATAGCATAGCAGGGAAATGACAAATTTTGAAGATTTATGAATTTATATATATTATTAGTTATGATATTGTCAGTCAATACATTTTTGTTCGCCGGTAAACTAGCATTACTTGCTAATGGGTTCTTCTTCCGGATATTTTATCTCTCTCTCTCTCTCTCTGTCTTTTTTTTTTTTTTTTGGGGGTAAGTGAGAGGACGTGAATCCAAGAGCTCTTACTTATAACACCTCTCACCTTATCATCCAATCAAACCCTCCCCCCCAAACAATCACAGTACTTAGAAGATCTCTTGAAGTTTTGAAGCAGATCATGGTTATGAAAAGAGATAAATGAGACTTGAATAAAACAATGCTTGAAACCAACTACTACTAGAGTAGTCGGCCATCAGAGACAGAGAGAAAAAAAGGGGCAGCTCTTGAATGCCTCAATCAGTGTATTCTAGTGCTCAAACATCTTTGTTCTGGGAAAAGCAGGATTGGAAAATTCTCTTTTGGCAGAACCTGTTGAGGTGAAGTGGCTTGTGTGCTGTATTGGATTGCTTATTGTTTATACCACTCTTTCATGGGTTCTATAACAGGAAATTTAATCTTCATTTGACCTATACTAGATTTCAGGCTTTTGGATTTCAGAAAAATCAAGTATCGGAATTGGAGATTGAAGAGCACTGCGTTGTATGAATTTCCATTCAGCCTTTTGGATTCCTCACAATCTGATTGACTAGATTGGCTTTCGTCCAAGTGCTAAACAATATATTATTCCCCAGAGTTCTCTAACCATTCCCCTCCTTCGGCTTTTGAAGCAGGGGAAATGCTCTTTCTGGCAGAAGTTGGAATCTTTCAAAAGGCTGCACTAGAAGAACAGCCTTCATTCTGACTTGAAATTCTTAGAGCTTCTGTCTGTATGATAACAGTACATCTTCAAAACTAAATTTATTTTCTTAAGTCTCAGCCGATAGGTCATCGATCGATCGAACGCAGTCAGTCAAATGATTATAGTGCTCTGCTCATATCATCCCAAAACATGAATATGGGCAATTTATTAAAATGGAAAGAAATGAAAACAATAGAGTTGTTGAACTGTATTAATTTCAAAATCAAAAGCATAAATCTTTCATTTCTTTCTTCAGGCTGTAATATACCGAATGGAAGTACACAGCCTCCTTGGCTACTTCATCATAGATGGAACAAGAGGGACCAAATTCTTGGTAAAATAAATAAAGCTTTTACTCCTGCAAAAATTTGAAAAAAAAATATATTTTTTTCACACACTTAATTTTTGATATCCTAAAGTTTGCCTGCTAAAACAAAATTTCCCAGTTCAAATACAAGCATTCATTTCTTTCTGACAATTCACAATCAGCCCTTAGAACTGGCTGTGCATTGTCTAGAGAAAGGCATGCCACAACTACATATGAAAGCGACGATTAGTGCATTGCAAGTGCAACTGTACATTGCAATTTATAGATCAGACTAGTTAATTACGCTTACCATCCCTGTGGTTTAGCCAAATTACAAAATGCAACCTATGGTTTGGTCAAATTACAGTTAAGCCCTTTAAATGGCAAAACATTTATGAAATGCCCCCTAACATGAATCGCCATTTGAAAATATTGCTTGCCTCAACATAAGAGCCCCAGAATATCCTTTTGTGAATTGAGTTGATTGCATTTACCTCCCACGAGTTTTTGTCTAAATTACATTTGGCTCCCCTAAGTTTTGTTCAAATTATATTTACTTGTACTAAAATTTGTCCAAATGACAAGATGAACCCTATATTTTGTGCAAAACAGTCCATATTTTAAAAAGCCAAACATTTATTAAATAAGCAATTTCCACCAGTCAATTACAACAAAAAGTTATAATAAAATTTTGAAAATACCCATTAGTTACTGATGCCTATTCTTTTTTATGATAAAACTAAAAATAGCATTTTGGTTACCAATGCAGTTTTTTTGACCACCTATTATTATTTGATATTACGAACCCTTTTCCATGTTAATGTACAAAAAAATAAAATTCCATTTTTTAAAACATAAAATAAACTATTAATTTGAAATCTATCTCTGCATATTGAGTTTTAATTTCTGTTGACAGAGATATTGATATAGAAACTTGAAGTACCAGACCAAATAAAAAGATTTATTTAGAATTGAGGAGAAGAGTTTAATATAGTATTGAGGAGAAAAATAATTTTATTATTCCATTAAATCATATTTTGAAATATAATAAATGATTGTTATACGGTAAAATGGATTGAGAAAGTGTGGTAGCAAACGGGAAAATAAGTAGGCATTAGCAAGAGAAAGGAATAGGTTTTCTCATTTTTTTTGGTTTTGTTTTGTTTACCATTTTGTAGTAGTTAGTAATGATTGTTTTCTTTTAGTTTGTGTTTCATTTGTGGATCACATTAAGAGATTTTGACCAATATTTGGTTATTCAACTGGTCAAATTTTAGGGTTTTTGTAATTTGATCAAACCTCAAGAGAGATAGATAAATGTAATATTTTGTGAAGGGCAGTAAGTAGTAACACATGGATCCACGTACGCCATGCTAACTTGGATCTGTTTGCGAATCCTTTGGTCAGTGCACTTTGCAATTTTTCATTGTTTTTCCTATTTTTGTTGTATTTTCTCTCTTTTCGTGTTTAGACTACT